GTTAAAAATACTGTAAAGTGTCCATAATTATTTAAAAGCAGGGTACTGGTGCATAAATCAACTAGTAGTGGAAAGATGAGAAGATCCAAAAATAGACCCATGTACATATGTAGGGTTTATAATGAAGGCCCCTCAAGTTGGGGAAAAGATGGACTTCTTGGCTTTGGACAGCCATTTGGAAAATTGAAATTGGGTCCTTATATTACACTCTACACTGAGGGTACATTCCAGTGGGAGTGTCCATGCACGTATGAAGCATGAAATCATGTGAGTACTAGAGGGGAGTGTGGGAAGTGCTTCTGTAACCTGTCCGGGGAAGCCTTTCTAAATATCATTGGGGATTCTGTATCAAGGGAGGAAGTGACTGAGAAATTAGACTTCATTAAAATGCAAAACGTTCTCGCCTACTCCCTCCTCTCACCCCTAAGAGAAGCAAAATCAAATTTTGGAGCAAACACTTGCAAGTTATCACAGAAGGTAATCGCCTTAATATGTAGTTTCCAGAAATGGAGAAGAAAAAACCAAGAATAACAGAACAAAGGGCAGTAAGGATGAATAGGTCTTTCTCAGAAATAGACGCCCAGGGTCAGCGTCATGTGTGGGAAGAGAAACACAAACCAGTGCCCATTCCTCCCCTTATGGGTTCTGTCGTCTGTGACACATGGAGCTACATCCTCAGCTTCTCTTAAATATCCGGAATTGTTTTCTATTTATTTTAATTTGATAGTTCAATATATAAAACATTGTTTTACACATTGACACCATTCCTCAGCCATCAGGATGACACAAGCTCAGAGCTCTGACAACTTATTTTCTGGTCTTGGTTAGAATGAGGGGATACCCGGGCATTGTTTTATATATAAGACACCATTCCTCAGCCATCAGGATGACACAAGTTCAGAGCTCTGACAACTTATTTTCTTGGTTAGAATGGGGGGATACCCGGGTATTGTTTTATATATTGACACCATTCCTCAGCATCAGGATGACACAAGCTCAGAGCTCTGACAACTTATTTTCTTGGTTAGAATGGGGGGATACCCGGGTGTCCAGCCCTGTGGAAGGGACCTGGCTGCCTGACAGAGTTACGGACGTTAGTGCCTCCATCTGTCTTGAGGACACACACACATGCACAAGGGCAGGAAACAGCACAGCACACAGGTTTCCTTTGCAGCCTCAAGTACAGAGACCACCCAGACATCTCACCGCAAGGCGCTGCTTGTGGTTGAGCCGTGCCGCGGCAAACCCAGCTCCTTAAGGAAGAGAGAATGATACACGGTATTCTCCAGCACAGTTTGTTAAGTGCAGATCTGAGAATACAGGACTCTAACTTTTCTATAAAAAAAAAGGTGACACAAAAGGAACACTGAAAGGATGAACCAGAAACTGACCACGTGCCTGCAGGGAACAGCACACATAGAGTGGAGGACTGTCAGGGAGGCCGCCTCCCAGGGCACACTTTCACCTTTGGCTTTTAGTCAGAACAATGTTTTATATATTGAACTATCAAATTAAAATAAATAGAAAACAATTCCAGATATTTAAGAGAAGCTGAGGATGTAGCTCCATGTGTCACAGAGGACAGAACCCATGAGGGGAGGCAGCGTGGGGCTGCCTATCCCAGCCACTGCAGGATGGGAGGCCTGGGAGGAGGCTTGAACTTCACCCAAGGTTTAGAAGGGAAAAAGGCTGGTAAAAAAGACAATTTTTGAAAATTGCTGGAATTTATATAAGGCCTGGGTATTGGATGATGTCCAGGAAGCTACTTTTAAATAGGCCAGGTGCAATAATGGTGTCATGCTTGTGCTGAGAGTGGTGGACACTGAAGAATTTACATGTGAAAGGTCACAGTGTCCGTAGTTCACACCAAACTATTTTACCCATAAAGTCTTTAAAGTAAGTGTGGTGAAGGCTGGTAGCGGCTGCTACCTGGACTGTTCTCTCCTCTCTGTATGTTTGAAAGTGTCATAAGTGAAAATAAAAATGATGATAAAAGGAATGAGGTGGGTCAGATTTAGACAAAGATCTGGTGAGATGGGGGGGCACTGAGCTCCAGCATGGGAGAGAGCTGTGAGCGTTCAGATAATGAGACAAGGGTCCCAGGCAGGTGGCAGGGGAGAGGGATGGGGGAGAGGGGGAGAGGAATGGGGGATGGGGGAGAGTAATAGGGGATAAGGGGAGAGGGGTGATTAACTCAAAGTCAACTGATTAGAGACCTTAATTACATCTGTCCTGTAACATAACCTCAGAGAGATTGCATCACACTCCCATTCCAGAGAGGGAGTTATGTGGGGTGTGCAGCCAGGGTCAGGGTAACCAGGCAGCTCAACACAGGATCGCAGAGTGAAGGAGGTGTTCACAGTGCATGCACCCAGGAGGTGGGGACTCAGGACCACAGAGCCCTGAAGGGCAGGCCCAAGGGGTGGAGGGCTCTGGTCAGACAGGAGAACTGTGGCAGTGGTTTGTGCAGGGAGAGGCACAGACCTTCTGTACAAACTGGAGAATTCTGATGAATGCACCACTGTGCCACCCTCACCACCATAGAACCATCTTCATGACTCTAGAGAGGTCCCTGGGCATTTCCCATTGTCTATATGGAGGTGATTGCTACTCTGACTCTTGCTGCCACCGGTCAGCCTCCCTGCTCTGGAGCCTTCAGTGAGGGGTGCCCTCCCTGTGGCGGCGGCACCACACGCATCCATCTGGGCCTGCCCTGGGTGGGTGAACTGCACTTTGCTTACCCACGTGCCTGCTTTGATGGATCTGAAGCCGCCATAAACATACTCATGTGTCTTCTTTGGACTCAAGAGTTCAGTTCTTGCCCTTGGCAGACTCAGGTGGGGTTGGGTGGGGTGGACTCTGCCCCTTGCCTGAGATCCTAAAGGAGTTGGATCCTATCAGCTGCCCACATCCTCACAGACTCTACTGTCTGTCTAATCTTAGCTGTTCTGGGGGCATGTCGTAGATCTCATTGCAGTTAGACTTGAACTTCCCTGAGGAGGTGTCGAGGTGCCTCCGTTCTCCAGAGGACTCAGAGTGTCACCAGAAGATGCTGAGAACGAGAAGCTTCCCAGAAGGTGGTGCCAGGCCAGCCAGATGGGGCTTGGGGGGGCATGCTGGTCCTGTGTGGTCCTGGGACACCCGCAGGCCAGCTCTCCTCAGCTGGAACTGAAACAAATCCCAAGTGTCCAAAGTCACACCAGGAAGTGTTCTTTCTGTAGATGCTAGGTGTAGAAAATGTGTTAAAAAGACCAAATGTGGGTTGTCTTAAATATGAATGTGGCTAATTTCTCTGTAAAGAGCAAAGATGATTGGGGCTAAAAGTGTGACCCCATGCTGTCTGTGAATGTGCATTTAAGACAAAGTGTCTCAGAAGATGGGTGTGAAAGGAGACAGGTGGGTCCACAAGGTATCCACAGAAGGGAACAGGGCTGCAGTGCCTATGTCATCCAGAGCGCAGTGCAAAGCCACACAGGTGGGCCATATTCTCCTGTGAAGATGAGGCTGACAGCCGAGTTGAGCAGTGTGGGCTACAGAGTGCGCTGCAGCAGTGCCAGGCAAGTGTGGGCAGAGGAGAGACTGGCGTCCCTGTGGCCTCTGCCCCTCACACATAGGGGACAGTGGCCATTCACAGAGGGGCCCCGTACCTCCCCAGCACTGGGTGATCCACCCTGGTACAGGATGTGGCAGGTCTCCCAGAGGAATCCCAGGTGGCAGAGTACACACTCAAAAGAGCAGGTGGTACAGCCCCTTCCCCGGGGAAGACAAGCCAGGGAAGCCTGGGGGTGGAATTGGGGGACCTGTGAGAAAGGTGAGGTTGAGGAGGAGCCCTGGAGCAGGATCTGGGGGGGGGCCCGAGCCTAAGGGCAGACCTGGGGAATTGGGGACCGTGTAGGGCAGGTAGTAGGGAAGGGGGTCCACAAGAGCATGCAGGAGAGAGGCTGCCTCACCCTCAGGGCACTCTGCAGCCACCTCCAGGGCCCCCTGCAGCCACCTCCAGGGCCCCCTGCAGCCACCTCCAGGCCCAGGCTCTCTCTCAAACAACTGCCTCTTCCAAGGCAGCCTCTGGCCTCCAGCTGAGCTCTCCTGGGCCACATCCTGGCCTAGCGCTATGGCCCAGGGGCTGTACTTCTGCTCACTCCAGCACACAGTGAGGGGCGGCAGAGCCAGCTCAGGTGAGTGGCTCGAGATCACATGGCTGCACGAAGTGGGAAGGAGCTGGATCAGGGAGAATAGGCTGGAGTGGCTCTGGGGGGGACTTCAGCTGGTCCCTGGGGAGCTGGGCAGAGAGACATGGATGCTGTGTGGACCTGGTGCAGGGTGTGGCCCATGGGATGGCTAGCCAGGCGCCTCCCGCCCACAGCAGCTGGTTCCTATCATGTGGCATCTCCAGCAACAAGTTGTGTGAGAGGATCTGGGTCTCCCCCCAGGGCAGGAGGATCGCTGCCCCCTCCATCTGCCCATCCCCCACAGCCTGACCCCACCCTCCCATTCAGAGCTTGGAGAATAATGTGCAGCCTCACATTTCTTTCGAGGCTGAGCCTCTACTCTCCCTGCAAACCCTCTCGGAGGCCTGAGGCTGCTTCCTGTGCTGGGATGAGGAGGCTGCCACATCTGCAGGCCTCACTCTGAGTCCTCCCAGGACATCTCCCCACAGGGCCTATGGGATCCCTGACCCCTTTTGAGAACCAGGCATGTGTTTTAGCACTACAATGTGAGGCCTGGCATGGGGCCTTTTGGGCTTAATCTTATTGGATCTGGCTGGCACCAGCCAGACCTAGAGACCTTGTTTGCTTGAGCCTGCAGCAGGAGTGGGTGGCCTTCATGTCACCATGCTTCCCTCCAAGGAAGACGAGGCCAGAGGTGTTAGCGTCCCTCCAAGGGCGGTCTTCTGGGGCAGGCAGGGAATGGGCACCAAACTGTCCCTGTTCTGCCCTGAGCCTCCCTACAGAGTGTGGGGTGCATGCAGTTGGGGCCTTAACTCACTGGGAAGAGACCACTGAGAGGAAAGTGAAAACTTTAATTTGGAAAAGTCATGGACATGGACACAGTCAAGAAAAAACACAGGAAGAAGTAAAAATAAAAACTAGCACATGAAGAGGGTCTTCAATGAAATGTAGAACAGATCACGATTTTAAGGGAAAAGAGCTTGGGATTATTTTGTCACCAAATGGCTCTGTGTCCTATCTGCTAACTTGAGGGGCCCTCGGGAGGGATAAGCACCTTTATTCTGGAATTTGAGGCCACCAGCGCAGAGAGCCACCGTCCTCTGCCGCTATCAGAAGACGCTGGTCCTCACACCAGTGGCAGCCCAGGGTTACAGGAGCCCAGACCACAGGTTAGCGGCTAGAACCTTGCAAGGAGTTTTATCAGGGTTCACATCCTCTTGACCTTGGCTTCCCACGATGAGACAGAGTCACCATCTCAGAATTAACTAGTAGAATTTTCTTTGGGTTCAGGTGCAAGTGGAGACTCATGTGGGGTAGTCAGAGGAATGACTGAGGGGGAGGTGGCCCCTGAAGGCCTGGAAGGGGGAGGCCATGGGTGGGTGTGGAGCCTGGGCTACAGCAGAGGAGCTCCGAGGTGCAGATGTTGTCATGGAATGGGATGTTGGCCATGGGGGAGGCACGAATCCCAGCCAAGCAGCAGATGCAGGTGCCCAGCTTGGGGTGCACCAGGCGGACTCTGGGCAAAGCACACAGCACATGGTATGCACCACAGCTTTTCAAGCTTCTCCTTTAAAATAAAATCTAGCTGGCTGGTTGGGAAAACTTGCATCACATTTCGCTTCCTGTTTTAGTGATAGGGACAGGAGGGCTGGTGGTGGTGTGACCGCCCCACTAGCCTAGTGCCACCTTCCTGGAGACCGTCTGGTGGAAGACGCCTCGCAGCAGGGCCTGGTAGCTGGGCACACGGAACAGGTGGCGCTCGCCGTAGGCCACGTCATACTCGGCCGTCTTGCCGGTAACCAGGACACGGACGTGGGGCTCATTAACCTGACGGCCTACCACCACCACAAAGATCTCGATGCCTGCCCGCTGGGCCTCCTGAACGGCCTTCTCAATGGCCGTGGCTGTGGCACCCTGTGAGTTACCATCTGAGAAGAGCAGCAGCTTCTTCTTGGCTGCACCAGACGAGGCCTCACGGTAGAAGCGGGTCACGTAGCTCAGGGCGTCATTGACATCAGTGGCATCATTGAAGAAGTCCATGCCGTCCACCACGCTGGCCAGTGCCGTGTAGTTCTGCAGGAACTGCAGGGCCGCACGGTCTGGCCTCTGCTGACCAGTGCTACTATATTGCACCACCGAGACCCGCACGTCATGGGAGGGATCCGTCCTGTCTGCAGCCAGGAAGCGCTCGGCCAAGCGCTTGGCAAAGCGCTTGGTGGTGTCAAAGTTCCGGCTACCCACGCTGGCTGAGCCATCCAGCAGGATAGTGATGTCAGCCGGGGAGGAGAACGTGACTATGGGAGAGAGGGGGCCATCAGCTTGTGGCCTGCACACATGCCCAGCTGCCCTCACCCAGTGACTCCCTGCTCACCAGACCCTCTTCTAAAAGACCTCCCTCACCCTGGGACCCCCAGGCACTCACTCGGACAGGTGTAATCTGGACACTTCTTATCTGAAAAAGAGAAAATCCACATGGTGTGAGCCCTGCTGTGCCAAGCAAGCTGATGGGTGCAGACACTGCTGCTCCCAGGGAGCTGACCGCATCACCCTGGCCTCGTCCCTACTTGGCCCATCCAGCCTCCACCAACTCAAAAGGAGACATTTAGAGATGACAGATGGCCCCCAGCATTGTTCTAGTCCTCACACCAACCTAGCCTTGACCCCTTCTGAGAATGGGGAGACTGAGGCTCAGAGAGTGGAAACGGAGGCCCCAGCTCATGCGAGCAGATCTCTCTGTCTGCCACCCAGCGGCCCATATTCTCAGGTGGCCCCTTGGGCTCTGTGGCCAGCCCCTGCAAGGTGTGGGGTCTGCCTGCCTCTCTCTGAGCCTGGCAGGTCCTGTGAGCCACACGGGGCAGGCTTGCAGGGCCGGCCATGGCAGCTCTCGGCTCCTGGGGGCCATGCTGTTCCCTAGGCTGGAGGACTGTGCCTGAACACGGCTGAACAGCCTGGTGGACCATGGTGCCCACCTCTGCAGATCTGGGCTGTGACGTTCTTCAGGAAGGCGTCTTCCAGAAGCTCTGCGTAGTTCTCTTTGACCAGTGAGATGCCAGGCCGGCCCTGGGCTGAAGGCAGGCCTTGGCAGGAGATGACGTTGAGCTGGTCGGAGCCCGGGACAAAGTCGAACACATCCTTAATGCCCACAGAGACCACCTGGGGGGACAGGGATGTCGTTGGTGATGCTGGGGAGGCTCCTTGTCCCCGGGGTACCTAAGTGGGTGGGGCCGGTGCCCCACCTGGATGCCAGGGTCGCAGAGCACATTGAGGGGCGTGGTGTCCCGCTGCGTGTCTGAGCGCCCGTCGGTGATGACCAGGGCGATGCGGGTATTCTGGGTGGGCGGAGGCAGCCGGTCCCGGGTGTACTGCAGAGCCTCACCTGTGAACGTACCCCCTGCCATCCACTGCAGCTTCTTGATGGCTCTGGGGAAGGGTCAGGGCCGGGTCAGGGCCAGGGCCAGACCCACTGCAGGGGCAGGGGCAGGGGTCAGGGTGTGCTCGGGTGCCGTGTGGCACACTCACTCCTTGAGCTCCTGTGTGTTCCGGATATTGGGGTCCCGCAAGTCCACGTGCTCCTGCATCTGGTTGTGGCTGTACTGCACTACACCTGCATGTGACTGCCCCGGCTCAAACTGCAGGGTGGGCGCATATCAGGCCCTGCACACGGCCTCCCTGGCTTCCCTGGTGCTGACAGCTGCAGTGTCTGAGGGTGCCATAGCTCCAAACCACCCTTGGCCGGGGGCTCACCTTGACCAGCTCATCCCTGCTCAGCCGGTCAATGACCTTGGTGATGAAGTCCTTGGCGATTTCGAAATTCTGTAGGCCAATGCTCTCCGAGCTGTCCAGCACGAAGAGGATGTCGATGGGGCCACACGTGCATTCTGCGGGGTTGTCAGGGCTGAGCAGGGCACTTCCACCCTCCTGGGGCACCCCCAGGACCCCGTCCCATCCCTGGAGCCCGTGGAGGAGAATGGATAGAGCGGGCTAGGGGCTTGGCTTCTAGTCAATGGGGATGAGACCAGGGGATGGAGGGGCTAAGTTGGCACACTGGACCCCAAGGGCTGGGCACAGGCCCAGGAGTGGCAGCAGAGAGCAGGCAAGGGGACCCCACTGCTCTGCCCTAGGCATGAGGATGTGGGCTCGACTCCATCATTCACAGGGGTTACTCTGCTTAAAAATTTAAAATCAGTGACATTTTCTGAGGCAAAAAGTGGTACTCACCACAGCAAGCTGGGGAGAGAAGAGAAAGAAAACAAGAGGCAGTCAAGCCCTGTGCTGCTCTGACGGCCAGGTCTACAGGTGCCTGCCTCCTTACCCAGGCCGCCCCACCAAGGGCAGGGTCCCCAGCGTCTCTGAGGCCTGCAGGACCCAGCACAGTGTGGTGAGGGCTGCCCCCACCCGCCTAAGCCTTTCTTGTGGGGCTGGGACCCCAGCTGGAGAGACCCTCCAGGGGCAGAGTGGCAGGCGTGGCTGGAAGTACTCTGAGAGCAACGATACTCACAGCACATTTTCATGATGATGTCCAGAATCTCACACTCCTGGGGACGGAGGAAGGGACACTGACACTGAGGCATGGCCCTTCTCAGGGGGCTCTCACTTCACAGGTGTGTCCAGCCCTGCCTGTTTGACCCTGCTGTGTTGCAGATGCCTGGCATGGCTACCGATGAGGCTGTCACATGTCCCCCCACCACCCCTGGCATGAGACACCCCCGACCCCTTTCCAGAAACACCCCCATGTGTGAACAGCATCTGCGGAGCCTGTCACCACCGTGAACCCTATCCCGCAGGACCCCAGGCTGCATCAGCCCTGAGGTCGTTTGCCGACCCCCACTTACATCTGGCCCGGGTGGTCCTGTGTGTCCTGGGGGGCCCTGTCCAAGGAAGCACAGTAAGCACTGGGCTGAGGCTCAACTGCATCCTGAGTTAAGTCCGCGACAGCTCCCAGCCACACTCCTCCACCCTCCCGCCAGGGTCCCATGAGGCAGAGATGGGTGGGGACCTGGGGCTGCTCTGCTCTGGGTGGCTGTCCAGGTGATGCCTAAGGACTAAGGTCTGCTGGGCTGGACTCTGCTGCCTCCCACCCCAGGGACCCACCTGCAGCCCATGAGGCCAAGCCTTCCCATCTCCTGCTAGCTGGCCCTGACTCTCCTGCCACCTGGGGGCCTGGCTGGCCATGTCTACCTACCTGGGGGCCTTCAGGGCCACGGTACCCCTTTGCTCCTTTGGCTCCTCGAGGCGAAACATCGTTGTTCTAGAAGGAGACATGATGTGTCGAGGGGCCCAGCCATGCTGCCCATCCTCCCTAGAAGCTCAGGCCTTGCTCCAAGGAGCCAGGAAGTAGGCCTTGGGCCTCCCCCTGCACCCAGCCCCACACTCACATCATCTCCAGGGTCCCCAGCTTCTCCCTCATCCCCCTTGAGGCCAGGGTAGCCCTTGGTGCCCTGTGAGGACAGGAGAGTCATGGGTCAGTGAGGTCATAGTGCTTTATTTTCTTTGTAAGAAGCAAGAGTTTTAAAAGGAAAAAATAAAGATAAAAGAGGCACTCGTACCCCCCCATACATGTTTCCTGGGGGAGAAACTGAGGCCTAGAGTAGGTCCATGGGACCACCCAGCCCTCCACGTGCCCAGAGGAAGTGCAGGTTCCCAGGCACACTCCAGGCAGTGTAGGACACTCCTAGACTCCAGGGGAGGGAACATGTTTGCTTGTGAATTGTTTGTGCTGTGAGCAGAGTTTAGTTGGACGGTATACTCACATTTGTCCCAGGAGGGCCCCTGCTTCCCGGATAGCCCTGTGGGTGGGAGGTAAGCAGTCACACCAGGCCCCACGATGGCAGGCCCCAGGGCTGCTCCGCCTGGTCAGTGTGTTCCCAGGCCAGCTGGTAGTCCTGGTCCAGCCTGCCCACCCAAGAATATCCACTGGCTAAAGAGGGTGCACAGACAGCATGGGGTCACCTGGGGAAGGTCAGTTCCCCAGGGCACTTACGGGGAAGCCGGGGAAGCCCTCAGTGCCATTCCCGGCGGGGCCATCTTCACCCTGGGGACAGAACAGAGCAGAGCTGCTATGGCCCTCTGGTCAGCCCAGGCCTGAGATTCCCCTCTGGTCAGTTCAGGCCCAGATGTCTTCTGATCAGCCCAGGCCTGGGAGCACTGCAGCTGTAGGGCCCCCCTGTTGGCCTGGAAATTGCCCCACCCCCACCCCCCCGCTGACCCTGGAGCAGGAGGGGTCCTGGCTGAGATGCTCCCATACTCAGGTGTTGCTAAGTGTGATCAGGACTTGGCACTGCTGGGGGAACACTCCTGTCCAGTCAGCCAGACCCGCACAGCCAACTTCTCCCCAAGGCTGGCTCAGCACACTGGGGCTCATGCTCATGGGCACTTACCCTTTCTCCTGCCAGCCCTGGGTCTCCAGGAGGCCCAGCAGGTCCTGGGGCTCCTCTGGGGCCCTGAAGAGAGGAACAGGGGTCACTGCTATGGGTGACACAGGCTCAGTGCAGGGAGGGCGGGACAGGAGGGGGATGCTATGGGGCCAGGGAGTCCCCAGAGGGTGAGGGGCTAGTGCTGGGCCAAGAGAATGGGCCTGGGGGACCTCATGGATGTCCTCCCAGGTGCCAGGTAGTGGGTCAGGGTGCTTACCTCAAGCCCTGGGGGACCCTCATCACCTCGGTATCCCTTAGGTCCAATGGGGCCGGCCTCACCCTGCAAAAAGATTGACACACCCTACTGGCCCCCAGGCCTTACCAGTCCCTCTAGCCCAGTGGTTCTCAACCTTCCTAATGTCACATTGTATTTTCATTGTTAAAAAGGGGTGGCGACCCACAAGTTGAGAACCGCTGCTCTAGCCTGAGTCCTGGCCAAAGCACTGTCTCTCCCCTCCTTCCCCACGTGATCTGAGGGTCCCCAGCACAGGGGCCCATCATAGCTGTGGAGCCCTCTTCCAGGTGACTCCAGGGGTTGCTCACTGGGACCCCAGGGATCACTCTGTTCGGTTAGGTCATGGTGCCAACATTGATGGTGCAGCCCACTCAGATTTCTGCCGGGGCCTCTGCTGGGCTCTACGTCACAGACCAACTGCTCCTTCTGCCTCCCATCAGTGAGGCCCCAGACTGGCCCTCACTTGGGGCCCCTCTGGGCTGTGCCTGGCCTGATGTCCCCCAGACTTCTGTGACTTCTATAGACTGAGCTTGGCCTATCACTAGACCCTTCTCCTACCATGTCCGTGTTTCCTGAATCCTCTGTGGGGGCTGAGTTTCCAGAGCTGACCCTAGACCACCCTGGGGTTCTGCTCCCACAGTGCAGTGGTAAGTTACCTGGCCCCAAAGCACCTCACTGACATCTCAGCCATGCCCAGGGACAGAGGGCAGGTGCACCTCAGTCCCCAGGCCACCTGGCCCTGCGGTGCCCCACCAGTCTTGAGCTTGGTTGAAGGCCTATTCCCCGGCCCTACCATCAGTTTGGTGCCTCCCTTTCCTAGCTGGTCCTGCTCACAAATGTCCACAGCCTCCCTGTCAACTGACTTGCTCCTCGAGCAGCCACGTGGCACTTGGAGTACTGCTATCTCAGCCCTGGCTGTGCGGTGCATCCAGCTCCAACTGCTACGCCCCTACATAGGGCACTGTCACATGCCTTGGGCAGTGTTGGCACTTGGCATGCTGGCCATGAGGAGGACCAGAGGTGCAACCAACTTGGTCCCCCGAGACGTGCCTCAGGAACATGGAAAGAAGAGACAGGAGGGAGGATGCCCTCTGTCCCAGTCAGGGGAACGGCAGGTGAGAGGGCACACATGATGGGCACCTCTGGTCCTCATGCACATCCCCAGACAGGAAACAAGGAGCCCACTCAGACCAAGCCTAAGGACAGTGGGAGCCCAAGCTTTGGGCAGAGAGTCTCAGAGCTGCAGCTCACCTGGCTCCCTGTTCCCAGCTCCCTGGGGCCCAGCCCCCAAACCCCACTGTGCTTCGCAGGCAGTTCTGATGTCCACATGGAGCAGGGAGGCCAGCAAGGGCTGGGTGCACAGCACGAGGGCTCCCTATTTCTTGGGTTTCTCAACTGCTTTGGGGGGGGGATTTCGAAAAACACATTTTGCAAGAAACCTCCCTCATGGGCACACGGGTATGGGGCCTGAATGCTGCTGGGGGCACGGTGGCAGTGGGAAGGAGGGCTCAGCACTGAAGCCAGAGCCCTGGGGGAGGCCTGAAAACCAGTGTCCTGGTGGGCAAACATGGGTCCTCCGCAGGTCCAGCCCAGCTTTTCAGGGAGAGTCCAGGTGGACCACTGTCCATCTTAGCCATGGAGCTGAGTCAGGGTGGCACCGTCCCTTCCCCAGAGCAGCAGCCCAGGCCCCTCCCAGAAACTTGATCCTGGAGGATCCAGGGGCCATGCAGCCCACCAGGAGCTATATGGCCAGGCCTGGTCACAGACTGGTCTCTCTTCTTCGCAACTCTGTGATAGTCACTTTTTTTTTTTTTTTTTTTTTTGCAGCAACTATGATTACTTTGAAAACTGAGCACATGAACAGGCAGGGTGTGGTCAGAATGTGGCACAAATCTCAAGGTCTAGACACAGTCACTGTCATCAGAAAGCCTGGGCTTTGGTCTTTTGTGCTACCAACATCTTGAACAACTTCCTAAATGGTGCTGCAGGGGACGATGGGACCCATCATGAGGAGTTTGGAACACCAGTCCAGTTTATCCTGGGGTGCTGGCCCCTCTGTGGGGTGCCCAACACTGCCCCTGCAGTACCTGCCTGGAGGTGATGGCCTCTTGCCTGTTTGCTGGGGTTCCACAGAACCAGCATTTGAGGACCACTCTGGAGAAACCTGGGGAGATCCCCAGCAAAGCCCAGAACCTGGGCCCAGTCTCCTTCCCACATCCCACTGTTGGCTGCATCCTCATCCACACCCAGGCTGCAGCCTTGTATTGTCCGGGGCACAGCCACACAGGAGGTCAGCTGTGAGGACTAGAGAACCAGGGCTGCAAAGGGCAAAGAGGACCAGAGGCCACAGTGCATGGTGCAGTCCTGGGAACGTGTGGTTAGCCTCCCTGCTCCTGCCAGGAATAGCACACAGATTCAGCCCTGCAAGCACCGACCACCCAGACCCTGGCCTGGCCCTAAACCATTACACACTATTTTTAATAGCCATGTAACACAAAAGACAAATTAGCACACAAAAGCATGAATTCTATTTGTGTACAGAAATATAAATGTGATTTGTGCTATGACAGCCTCCTAAATGTCCCTGGGTCTGCTAGTGTGACCAGTGTTTGAAATAGGTGCCCTGTCCAGAATCTGGTCTTGTTTTCTTGTTTGCAGTGAATCCATGGCTGCACACACTGGACAGTGAGGCTGACCTGTCCACAGAAGCAGACCTCCCCAAGAATGTAGACTGCATAGCCTCGAGATTCCAGAGGCTTCCCTGACCAAGGAGAGCAGGCCAGGCCTGATAGTAATACCTACTGTGAAGTCTCAATAATTATAGTCATCAGAGCTGAGGAAGAAATAGAAAGATGAGAGGCAAGCAACAGCAGTTTCAGAAGGACACACATGGAGAAGAGAGTTTGAGACATGACAAAGATGCTTTTTGACCCCCGCAGATGGCATCTGGAATAGATGATGTTGTGACAGCCGGCCCAGTGTCCACAGAGGAAGCAAAGCCAGACCCCACCTCACCTCCATACTGATAAAATACATTTCCAGCAAATAAAAGACAGAGTGAAATTATAATACTAGGGTGAATGTGTGGAGACTCTTGTGAAGACCAAACAACAAGCCACACACAAAGTAAAAATGGAGGTGGCAGATTTGAAAAGATATCTGCATCATGGCTAAGATCCTTGCGTGGGTCAGCAGGAGAAGCAGAGTGCAACCAGGAAGGGCCTGGAGCCAGTCACACAGGACAGAGTGTCCACCCAAGGGCACAAACATTATGTTTGAGGTTTAACAACATCTTCTGCTGGGGAACAGCTAGGTGGTATGTGGGTATAGGCTCTATTTTCCACTCTTAGCGGGGAAAGAAAGTTGGGGCCACTCTTTTAGAGAACTATTTGGCAGATATCAAAACACACATGCACACACACACACACACACACACACACACACACACACACCTTGTTTGCCCCAGAAATTCTGCTGTAAGAATATATCTTTTTATAGCCTTAGAAGTATTTCAAGATGGACAGATGATGGATAGCAGGATGGATGCATGATGGATGGATGGGTGAATGGATGGTAGACGGATGGGTGGAGATATGAGTGGATGGTGGATGGATGGATAGATGGATGGATAGGTGGTGGGGAATGGATGATAGATGGATGAATAGGTGGGCGGGTGCATGGATAGGTGGATGGATGATGAATGGATGGACATGTGAGCAGGTGGGTGGATGGACATGTGATGGGTAGGTGGGTAGATGGATAGGTGGGTGGGAGGATGCCTAGGTAGATGGGTGCATGGATGGTTGGATCACGTGTAGGTGGAAGAAGAATGATAGATCCTTACTGTACCCATTTGTCTAATTGATGTTCACCTGCCAGACTAGTCTGCAACCCACCTGAGAGCAAAAGACTGTGCCCCCTTAGGGCTCCCTCTCCAGGACAGCCAAGCTCCTGAGCTGGTCCTGGATTTAAGCCAAGGAGCTGTTCTCTACCATAACGCAGGCCTAGCCATGAAGAGCTGACATCATTGTGAGCCCGTGGTGACCACCACACACCTCAACTGACTGCACGGTTAGGCCACATGTTCTCCGCACAGGGCCTATGACCTCTCATCACAAAGCTGTGAGGGCTACCCGGAACTGCTGTGACCTCTTCCACTGGCTGGTGTGGGGTGTGTGTCCTTCCTTTAGCCCCACATGCCCTCCCCTGGGTCATGGACCACCACTGGGGGGGGGTGTAGGGAGGCTGAGGACATGCTGGGGCGTTCTCTAGGGACAGGCTGGGACCCTGGAGTCAGGGACCACCTGGTTTGGATCTTCCTCTTCACTGAGCCCATGCCCCTCCCATCCGCCACATGGTTCTGGAGCCTTCCACTGGCTCAAATTGCCTGGTTCACCTTCATCCAGTCTCACCTGCAGTCCCAGATGCACAAATGCCAACTGAGCCTGGCCCTGAGGTCTCCAGTGGGAGGTAACCCTCCCCCAGCCAGGATCTCGAAACTCAGTGCTCCCTCCAGGCTCCTCCTGGGGGTTCCCTCTCCTGCCCTCCCTACACCCAGCTGCTGTGCCAGGTGTCCACACTCCCACTGCCCTTCTCCAATATGCACCGGGAAGCAGCCACCCTAGGGGTCAGAGCCCTGGGGCAGCATGTGGTCTGCTCCTCCATCTCTGAATCCTGGGGACCTGCAGCTGAGTGTCGGGTGCCACAGGAACTGGCCCCCTCCAATGTGCACCCAGCCTGGCTCAGACTGCCCCCAGCCCCTTGCAGCTGGCTGTGCCGTGGGGACATGTCCCTGACTCCCAGACCCAAACCAGCTGGCTCCAACTGAGCCTGGGACGCAGCTCTGCACCTCCACAAGACAGTGGACTTCCTACCGGGTCTCCAGGGACGCCAACAGGGCCTTCCCTTCCCTGGTCTCCTTGGGGTCCAGCTTCACCCTGGAGAGAGACAAGCCTGTGAGTGTGGAGGTCAAACCATGTGGCTAGCCAGCTGTGTGCTCCCTGGAGGAGGACAGCTGCTGGTGGTCAGCAAGAAGAGGTCAGAACTGGGAAGAGCCACTCTCTACCCTAGGGGCTGGGCTGGCCTCTCCCTCTTGACACTGTCCCTCTCCCTGCTTTATCTCATTTTTACCAGGACAGAGGCCCATGTGCATGTCCATCAGAGTGGCTGGCATTTTTTCAGGAGGCCAACAGCTGTCCCTGCATTTACTCCCTTCTTGGTGAGATTCACTAATGGGGAGACTTGGAGGGGCCCTGGACTTGCCTACCAGCCTCTAAGCTCAGAGCTTCTGGTAGCCAGCCTTCCTCTGGCCCCTGTGCCCAATGTGTCACCCAGGGATTTGCTGGCCTCAGAGGAGTGACATAGAAGGGGATAAAAGTCACACCATTCCTGTCTCAATGTCTCTCCAGCACAAGAAGCTGGTTAGGGCTAGTCGAGACAGTTGTGTTACAGGTAGAATGGTGCAGCTGAGTGTCACCTGAATGAAGGTGTGGACCTGAACACGACATACGCCATACACCACACACCACAGTAGGGCTGCTGTGGACCCTGTGGACATCCTCACAGGCTACAAAGCTTGCCGAGCTGTGTAAGAGGTGTGATTTTTTTGGGGGAGGGGGATGTTTCCACAACACAGTGCTGGCTGTCAATGATTGGGGGGAGAATCCTTTCCCTGTGTCCCTGGGGACCTCTGCTGTCCTTGCCTGGGCCCTTGCTGACTCACTGACCCTGGTTAGAGGCCTGGAGGGCTGGAGCGTCCCACCCACTGCTGCCACTGTGGGGGATTATCTTTATTTGAGAAAGCAGGAGGGAAGGGAAGGGGCTGGTCAAATCTAGGCACCAAAGGGGTAGTTGTGACTCTGAGGGTCTGACCTCTGGTGCGGTGTCTACCCACCCTGCCCTGGGCATGGGGCCCAGCTTAGGAAGGGGTGACTCACTGGGTCTCCTCTTGGCCCCCGCATGCCTGGGGTCCCCCGGGGTCCTCTTTCTCCAGGGCCACCCTAAGTGGACATAAGTGGAGGGATGAAACTGCAGCCACTGGCATCCACGTCCCAGCAGGACACCTGGGCCATGCTGTCTTGCCATGTTGTTCCAGCTGCTCAGGCCCAGCCACCTCTAGAGGTTGGGCTGTGACTCCCCGCCCCCCACCGCCCGCACCATTGCTAGAAGTGAAGGCGAAGAGACCCACTTAGTGCCCCACAGGTCAGCGCCTTGACCTCCATACCAGGAGGGCCAGACTGGGCTGCACCCACAGCGTCCGAGGTCAGGACAGGAGAGCCATCCCCCATAGACTCACCCTCTCTCCGGGGGCACCATCTGGTCCTGGGTTCCCCTGTATCAAGTGGAAGGAACAGAAGCATCAGTTTGTGTGTGAACCCTGCCCTGTGGCCCCAGGGAGGTGCAGGCTCATGGCAGGGGCTCACCTCGTCACCAGCTTCTCCCTTCTCTCCTGGAGGTCCAGGGTCTCCTGGCTGACCCTGGGGGAACACAAGGGCAGAAGTGGGCAACCAGCTCCCTGACCCCAGGTGGGGCCTGGACCCACCAGCATCCCCTGGGGACCATGAGTGTCCTCACCTCATCGCCAGGCGGCCCCGTGTTCCCAGGTCTCCCAGCTTCCCCATTGGCTCCAGGTTGGCCCTGTGCAAGATCATAGGGTCACAGGAGCTTGCTCCAGAGGTGTAACCCTGGAGGCCACATCTAGGGTGCATCCTGGGGTGACCAGCAGTCCCCTGTCAGCCTGCCTCACCCCAACATCAGCAGCTCTCTGACGGACACTGCTAAGGATTTCTGAATCAGTGGACAAGCAAGCCCCAGGAGTCACTAACCTTTTCTCCCTTCAGTCCAAAGGCACCAGCATCTCCCTTGGGGCCGGGGGGTCCTTGAATGCCCTGTGAGAGGATGCACCATGACACAGTCACCCCAGTGGAGGCCACTTGGCTACGGACAGGCAGCATTGGGCCGTGCCAGGACAAAAAAGCAAACATGGCACAGCCTGAGGGCGCTGCACATTAGAGGCAAGGTTTGGGCCAAGTGTCACTTCTGAAAACCCATAGTCTGGAATGTCAGTGAGAGAAAGTGACTCACATCCAGTCCAGGTGAGCCCTTGCAACCAGGCAGGCCTGGATACCCCGTCTCCCCCTGGAAAGAGAAAGAAAATGGCAAAATCAAGTTGGCCCAGTGGACAGCTCAGCCTTTCAGCCTTGGCTCAGCTGTCCTCTTCCAGGAAGCCTCTTCCCACAGACACTCTGAGCTCAACTGGGTGGTTCAGGGTCCACTGTGACCTGGGGCTTGACAGGAAATACCACAGCAATGTCTCCTGACTTTGTCTAGCCTCCCCACCCTCAAGCCTCTGCCTGCCCACCATCATTGCCCCTGGCTGTGTGGCCCAGACCCTAGGTCCCAGCTCCCTAGCCAGTGGGTCACCTTCATGCCGTCGACCCCATCGATGCCACGTCTGCCCTTCTCGCCCTGTGAGGTAGGAGGACAAGTTAGGTCCAGCACAGCCCTGGGGCTGGGGCTGACAAAGCCCTCACCCTACCCTCATCCCACTCCACTCACCTTGTAGCCCTTGGGGCCCCTGGATCCCTGTAGAGACAGAAAGGGGTGACAAGTGGTTCTCTGTTTAGCCCCAGGGCAGCCCCCACCCGACTTGGGTTCTGCATAGCAGATTGGAGGTTGGGGAGACAGGTGTAGCCTGGCTCAGGCCAAATGGAAGGGCTCCTGGTGAATGCAAGCTAACCCTACCCCAGCCCAGGGAATGTTACCCACTGCAGAGCATGTGGGACCAGAGACTTGAGCAGAGCTAGGGAGCAGGGCCGGGCAGTGCTTCAGGTGTCTGTGCCATAGGGGCCCTACTCCAGGTAGGTAGGGTGACAGGTGCCCCCACTGCTCCTGGAGCTGGCTTCTTCTCAGCTAGCAGCTGAGGGACTTCAGGGACAAGCTTCCAGTGACCATCCTGGTCCTCCCAGACGTGGGGTGTGACAGCACAAGTAAGGGTGGGAGTATGTCTGGCTATGTCCCCTGCTGACAGGGCTGTGCCAGTGATGACCACTGTACAGTCCAGGACACCTTCTACCCATAGCAGCCCTACAGCTGGCCTCACTCACCTTCTCCCCACGGCTCCCTTTTTCTCCCTATACACCAGACAGAGGAGGAAGAAGACATCATTAACACCAGGTGGGGAGGAAGCTGCAGACAGCTGCTTGGCCCAGGAAAGAGAGACACTTACTTTCATCCCCTGGTATCCGACTGGTCCAAGGTCCCCAGGTCTTCCCTGGAACACAGAGGAGGGAATGGTTAGACATCCCTGGAAGGGGAAGAGGCATCCCTGCTGCCCCACACCCTCCTTTCAGCTGGTGAGAGAGAGAGCAGCCTTCTCCAAGGGCCCCACCCAGCCTTGGGGTCTCCAGGGGGTGCTGGGAGAGGGGGCAGAGGTTTATGGGAGATCGGCCAAGGGGCCAAAGCAGAGGCCTTGCTGTGACTGGCGGCCTGAGCCCCCAGCCACTTCCCCCTGGGTGCAAGCAGGGTCTGGCTGAGGTCTGTGGAGGTGGGTGCAGGGGCTGCAGTGGCTGCAGGGGGAGGGGCTTGACTGGGTGCATGTGTTGGAAAATTGGCTGTGCCCAGCTGGCTCCCACCCACAAGGGACAGGCACTCAGAAACCATCCCCCCTTTTGGAAGTTTCTGCAGCCCAGTTCCCCCAGCCTCAGGTGTCATAGCACCCCCTCGCTCCCCGACGTATAGGGCACTCACCGGGTCTCCAGCTTCTCCCTTCTCTCCAGGAAGCCCTGGCTTGCCGCGCTCTCCCTAGAACAGAGTGGATCAAGGTCAGGGGACATTCCAGTCTATTTCAAAAACTCTGGTGAAGGGAACTGCTACTTGCTCACAAAAAAGGGGTTTTTAAAGATTTTCATTTAGACTTCAGAACTCCTGGGTTTTTTTTTTTTTTTTTAATTTTTTTTTTAATTAATTAATTTTTTTTGGTAGTTTTTGGCTGGGGCCAGGTTTGAACCCACCACCTCCAGCATATGGGGCCACAGCCCTACTCCTTCGAGCCACAGGTGCTGCCCCCAGAACTCCTGGGTTTTTAAGGTACCTTCTGCTGGCTCTGGGTCTGTCTGGAGTTTGGGAACCCCACGGTGAGCATGCTTACACCCTTATGTGCCAGTTGCTCTGGCCCTCGTCTGCACTGGCTTCTGGGGGCATAGGTGGGGCACAGGCAGGGCACAGGGGCCAGCACAGAAACCCACTCTTGAGCCTACAGCTGATGGAGTTGACAGTTTTTAAAAGAAGTCAGAAATTTGACATTCAAAAGTAATCTCCCAAGTTGTAAATACTGGCAACTAATTTTAGTTTTCAAAATCATCTTATGTGAGCCACACCTGGTCTGAGGTTTTCATATCTCCCAACCTGACCAGAAAGGTCACCTAGAGGCTGTGGGTCAGTCAGTGGAGGCCTCACTGGCCTCAGCCTCCCTTGTCAGCCCTAGGAGCCCCTACACGCATGGTGCCTTGCTGGGGGTCCTGCCACCTGGACTCTCCCCCTAGGCCAGCAGCTGCTTAGGCACTTGGGTGTTTAGGAAGCCGAGGCTGCCCCCCACTGCCATACCTAGGCTGAGGCTGCAGGATGACCCCCCAGAAAGAACCACACAGGTGAAGCCACTCACCTCATACCCAGGGTCGCCCCGGGGCCCAGGAGGTCCTCTGGCTGGCTGCAAGACAGGGGGGCCAGGTCAGCCCCAGACACCAATGGGGCTGTGGGGCATGGGGTGAGTGGGGTCACACTCACCTGGCACTCATAGGAGCAGCACTGGGGGGAAGAGGCACCAGACATGGGTCAATTGGAGAACCACAGACACACCCGGACACGACCTGTCCCCTGGATGTGAGCCTGGACACAGACACACACCAGGACCTAGGGGTTGGGGGTAGGGTGTGGGGTGAGCAGGAAGAGGCCTCTTACCACTTGCTCCACGTTAGTTTTCTGGAAAGTGAAATGGGAAAGTGGGTCACTCCCTGGTCAGGCCACAGCGCCCCCCACCCTTCCCATGGCGGGCACTCACAATCATGTCTGCGATGGTCTCTATGGTCTGGCTGATGACCTCTTCGGCATCGCGGCTCTGTCCCCAGTCAGCTGCGGTGAAGTTGCGCCGGTAGGAGTGGTCCGTGGCGATGATGCTCAGACGAGGCTCCTGGTGGTGGTGGAGAGTGAGCTGACCAGCCTTCCCCATGACCCTGTGCCACACCCCCAGGGCACAATCCCCACGGGCTTAAGACAAGGCTGGCTTGGGTTGCCCAGACTCCTCGGCAGGGAGGGATCTGCCAATCTTGGTGAGGCTGGCTGGGGTGTGTCCTCCTCCCCAGACTGAAAGAGGGTCCCAGCAGCTGAAGGCCTTGAAATGGACACTCTGTGTGCCCATGTACCCTGGCAGGACCCAGTTGAGGACCTCAGGCAGGACCATGCGCCATCTTCCAGGGGGGAGGGGAGCAGCTGTGTGTTAGTCCTGAGGGTGGGTGAGGGGCTCCTACCAGGTGGTCCGGTGTGATGGCCACTGAGAAGACTTTGATGCCCAGGTGCTTGGCCTCGTTCACGGCATCCTCCAGGCCTCCGCATGGCTCCTTGTAGCCCTCCAGGGGGTGCCCGTCGGTCACCACAATCAGGTACTTGTTTTCCTTCAGATGGGAGCCCCTGGATGGGGAAGCAGCATGAGATCTGCCCCGGAGGCTCCCCTAGTTCAGGGTCTCTCTGATCCCACAGAGACTGGAGGTGATGGGGCAGGGCCCCAGGGAGGCCCAGCCTGGTCTGGGAGGGATTTTCCTGCCACACTGTTGTAATTGTGGGTCCTTGCTGGGCCCAGCTGCACAGGGTTTACAGGGAAGAACCTCACAGCAGGAGTCAATCTGTGGGAGTCACTTCTCTGGAGAATGCTTCAGAAAATGCACAGGCTCGCAGGGGAGGGGAACAGGCCTTCTACACATGCCCCAGGAGGGACAGTTCCTGAAGCTCTCTGGGACCCAAACCCCTGAAGAGTGAGTGGATTCTGGGAGTAGCCACGTGCAGTTTGCCCAGCCAAGTTGCTGATTCATTCTGCCAATAGTCAAACTGAAGCCTTAAACAGAAGGCTCCTGGGCACCTGGAGTCGTTGATGTTTGCAGGAAACGGGTGTGATAAGGACACCACAGAACATTCAGAGGGGCTTCAAATGCAAAAACTCTGAAATTAGGGAGAAGGACAGGAGCAGGAAAGAAGGGCCACCATCAGAGAACACTAATGTGTTCCCAGGAATGCACTGGGGCACAGCTCATCCAGGATGGAAGTGCCAGGACCCCACACGGCCAGGGAGGGCCTAGCCCAGCTTTGCAGCCCAAGCCTCTCCCAGCCACAGCTCGGCACCACTCTGCAGTGAGAGGGACTCAGCTGCAGAAGGCAGCTCGGCCCCTAGTCACAAGCAGCAGAAGGAAAATTGGTTCTGGAGACAGGACACTTCTTATCCGGGACTAGCCTCGAACCCACTGGCTCTGGCGTCTTAGGGAGTGGGGCTGGGTAGGGACACTCAGCCAGGGAGGGGCAAGCTGCTCCTTCATCCCAGCACCATGGAACCTCAAGTGCCCAGGGAGTCAGCCATTCTGAGAAGAAAGCCCTCAGTCTAGGCAGACCATGCGAAAAGGAAAATGAAAGGAAGCTGCTGGCTTTGGTTTTGGCAGGATTTTGTTTGAATGATACCAGCTGGCTTGGTGTTTATGCTGTGCCTGGAAAACCAGTCTAGGTCTCTGTGTCTCCACCTGTCTCTGTCTCTCCTGGTTTCTCTCTCTGTCTCTATCTCTAGCTCTGTCTCCCTCTGTCTGTCCATTCCTCCTCTGTCTGTTCATCTCTCTGTCTGTTCATCTCTCCATCTCTCTGTATCTCTGTCTCTCAGTCTTTCTCTGTCTCTCTCCCTTTCTCTGTATCTTTCTCTCTGTCTCTCTCCATCTCTCTCAATCTCTCTCTGTCTCTCTCCATCTGTCTCTGTCTCTGTGTCTCTCTCTGTCTCTCTCCATCTCTGTCTTTCTCTGTCTCTCTCCCTTTCTCTGTATCTTTGTCTCTCTCCATCTGTCTCTGTCTCTGTGTCTCTCTCTGTCTCTCTCCATCTGTCTCTGTCTCTGTGTCTCTCTCTGTCTCTCTCCATCTCTCTCCGTCTCTCTGTCCTCATCTCTCTCCTTCTCTGTCTCCCTCTCTCTTTGTCTCTCTCTGTCCTTATCTCTCTCTGTCTCTCTCCATCTCTGTCTGTTTCTCTCCATCTCTCTCTATTTCTGTTTCTCTGACTGCTGAAGTCAGTTCTGTTTGGCCAGAGTCTGGCAGTGACTGGGGCATCTCAAGTCCTCTTGCCTGTGGCATCATCATTGATCAGAGACACAGTGGCTCAGTCCGTGGAGGGATAGCGGGTGGAGAGTGACCCCTGGGAGCTCTGGGCAGGCTGGGCAGTGGTCAGAGAATGGCTGCCCCTCCAGGGCAGGTCTCTGGGCATCTGAGGCGCCAGTGCCTGACTGGCCAACAGGCAGCCCAGGACTGGCCAGAGTTTACCGTCTGCAGAGTGAGTCAGATAGGCCTATGGCCAGAGCCAAGTGGTGGACCTGAGCCCCCCAGCCAGGCTGCACAGAGTCAGAGCCAGTGTGGCTGGTGGCCGTGGGGCCACTCACCCGACCAGCAGCTCCTCCAGCCCCTTCTTGATGGCGCAGTCGGTGTAGGTGCCCTTGCCGAAATACTTGACAGCATCCACGCTGGCCTTGAGCTCATCGCGGCCGTCGGGCATGCGTGTGAGCCCACGGATGATCTCCACCTCATCACTGTAGTGCAGCGCGCCTGCATTCCACACCAGGTTGCGGTCACATCGATAGTACCTGCGGGCCACATGGCAGGGGGGTGAGGCCAAGGCCTTGGAGACCCATGGCACTCTCCCTGCTGTTGTCTGAGGCAACAGTGTTACCTGTGTCCCAAATAGACAGACAGCCCAGCCCTGGCTACAGCCCTAAGAGGCAGCAGCTGGCTGGCCCCAAGGCTGGACTTCCCAGGCCCTAAGACAGGTGGTCCCTGCCTGGGAGGGCCAGGCCCAGTCCAAAAGTGACTAGGGTGTCCCCATCCTCAGGCCCTCCAGGAGGAGCTGTGTACGTCCATGGTTCCTGCTAGAGGTAGGTGGGTGAGGGTAGGGGCGAAAGGGGATCTGAGCAGCTTCCTCCCTGCTCCCAGGGCACTGGGGCCCAGGGGCCCAGGGGTCCACGGAGCTTGCTCTGCTGGGCCTGGGTGGCCCTGCCTGGCATGCAGCCCACAGTGACAGAGACTCCTGCAGTGGTGTGAACAGCAGATGCACTACAGTGACCCCACTCCATTTCCCATGTGGGGAAATTGAGGCATTGGGAGCCTGAGTGAAGAGGCTGAGGGCCCCTCAAAGAGACCCTGGGCAGCATCCACACCTGTGCCCTTCCTTCTCCACTTCATGGACCTGGGCATTGGCACTAAATTTGAGGATTCTGGTCCCCAAAACTCCGGCCTTGAGCACCCCTTGGGGAAGGGTCTGCTCTGACATGGCAGGCCCTACTGTTCATAGCCTTCTGGTGGCTGAAGGCTAAGGTCCCCGGTCAGTTGGCAAGCAGTGTCTGGTGTGGGACTGAGGTGGGGCCTAAGCTCCCATGCCCCCCACCTAGGACCCACCCCTAACCAGTGGAGGGGAGGGGAAGGGGAGACTGGGGGGAGGGGGACATGCAATGGGTGGGGTGGGGTCTTCTCTATGCCACGCCCCTGCCTCAGCCACATTGTCCTGGCCACACCTACTTCCCTGCTCCCTGGTGCTGAGGCTTGGATGGAGGACTGAAAGAACAAAGGGGGCCATGCCCCAAACCCAGAGCCGAGCCTGGTTGGCCCCAGAGGCTGTGGAGGTGATGCCCTCCCAGGCCCCCAGGCTGGGCCAACTCCATAAACTCACCCAGTTTTTAGGGGGAGCCGCAACCTGCCTTTTGCAAAGGGTTCCCCACTCTCAGCACTGCTGCCTCAACCCTCCTGCTGATGGGGTGGCCCTGGCCTTAACCATGTGAACAGTGGGCAGAACTGGCCCTTCTTTGGTGAGAGGGTTGAGGCTGACCCCGCCCAGGCCTTGCACCCCACCCCAGAGGCTCACAAGAACCTGGAGCAGGTCCAGGCTACCCCACCTACCTGTCCCTTAGGCTGTCGATGAAACGCTTCGTGAAGGACTTGACTTTGTCCACTAGGGCCCCATACGGCTTCAGCCTCAAGGCCACACTCTCAGAGGTGTCCAGCACAAAGAACAGGTCCACAGGGCAGTCTGGGCCAGAGAAAAAGGGCAGCCCTTGAGCTTAGGCCCTGTGCCCCAGCAGACTCAGGGAGACCACCACGCCTGCCTGGCCCAGCTGAGCCCCCTCTAGCCATGGACAGGTCAGCTACAGCCCAGTGCCAAGCATAGGGGCAGAGACCCTAGCTCTGCTAGAATTAGAACAGCCTGCCATAGCCAGCCCCCAAAAGGTAGATAGGTGAGAATGCTCATTAAATTTTCAAGTTGGATTTGAAACTTCTAGGTGGCACAACTTTCTTAAAATGGAGAGTGAGAACAGGTAACTGAGTTTCTGGTCATCCAGGCAAGGGATTAACTGAAGGAAAGAACAGTTTCTGCCCACCAGGGCGGACACTCCACATTCCTAGAGAACGGAGACCCACAGCATTGGTGGGCTTCCCCCCACCAGTGGGCCCCTCCTGAGTTGTCAGCCTGATGTCCCCTGGAGGATATAGACACTTGAGGGGACATGTCTGGAGGCATCACTGGGGGACAGCCAGACACTGCCACCACCTTGGGACAGGGAGCTGAGCCCTGGTGCTCTAGCAAGCACCCTGCTCTGCAGTCTCACGGTCAGGGCCAGGACGGGTCCCCCTAAGGCCCCTGCTCTGCAGTCTCACAGTCAGGGCCAGGACGGGTCCCCCCCAAGGCCCCTGCTCTGCAGTCTCACAGTCAGGGCCAGGACGGGTCCCCCCAAGGCCCCTGCTCTGCAGTCTCACAGTCAGGGCCAGGACGGGTCCCCCCAAGGCCTCTGCTCTGCAGTCTCATGGTCAGGGCCAGGACGGGTCCCCCCAAGGCCCCTGCTCTATAGTGTCACAGTCAGGGCCAGGACGGGTCCCCTCAAGGCCCCTGTTCTGCAGTCTCACAGTCAGGGCCAGGACGGGTCCCCCCAAGGCCTCTGCTCTGCAGTCTCACAGTCAGGGCCAGGACGGGTCCCCCCAAGGCCCCTGTTCTGCAGTCTCGTTGTCAGGGCCAGGTTGGGTCCCCCCAAGGCCTCTGTTCTGTAGTCTCACAGTCACGGCCAGGACGGGTCCCCCCAAGGCTCTTGCTCTATAGTCTCACAGTCAGGGCCAGGACGGGTCCCCCCAAGGCTCTTGCTCTGTAGTCTCACAGTCACGGCCAGGACGGGTCCCCCCAAGGC